ACAAGACCAAGTTGCGACAACGAGGTCAACCCACTTGAATAAGTCGAAAGGAGACTGCGACCATACCCGAGGCCACAACATCTTGGTCTTCACATCTTCCATTTATAATTTAATGTCTACTCTCATTAATACAATTTAATATCACTATAAGAACAATATAGATAGCACTTAATTCAAAATATTCAATGAGGTTGGCATTTTCGGCATAACCTCTTAAACCAGTGCAACTCCCAGAAAATTTTTCGTAGGCAGTGCTCAACTTTAGTCAGCTTGGATGTATAAATCTACTCAGCCTTGGTCATGCTCAAGATTCTGGAGGTAATCAAAGGGTCTCTACGAGTACTGAATATTTGCTTATCCTAATTGTAATTTATCCTCTGTGCATTCTTAAATACCCAAGCCTTAATAACGGTTGATTGAATAGACTCATTTAAAAATTATGAATTCGATGAAAAAGTTGTTTTCTTCAATCATGTCTACTAATTTGTTAGCACTTGTAAAATTTAGACAGTCTTTTATTGATGTTGGAGTACCTTTAATGTCGTTTGAAGAAGCAAGGGGAAGGGATTCGTAAGTTGGCTTCGCCGGAGGCTATAGGAGAACTGCCTTGGAGCTGTGATTGTATATTTGTGGGAATAGGTCCTCAGCAAATCGTCCTGCGACCTCGACGAATCCTTGTTGAGCCTTCGTCTGTCAGAGCAGCACACCACGCTTTACGATAATTCACCAAGCACAAAAACAAGAAAGGTGGCCGGCTGCAATCCTACCTACCTTTTATAGCTTGGCTAGGTATACTTATTGAGACCTCTCATGATTTGGTTGGAGATCCTATAATTTTCTTATATGCTGTTGAAAAGTGAAGTTGGTACGTGAAACGGATGCAATTGTAATCGAGCAACTGCATCCTCTCATAAAACGATTAGCTTTTTTTGTTTTATTTTTTAATTTTACCACATGCGATTACGTTCCATTTCATGTGTGTTGTGGTCATGCAATGCTCGTGGGGTATGGGAGGGAAAACCAGATTTGAGGCTAATTTAGCCTCCTCTTGCTCGGCGATGCTTCTTGCTCCTTCCGTCTATAGCTTCCGGTGAGGCCAGCATACGAATTCCTTCCACTTCCCTCTTCAAATGAAATGAAAGGTACTCCAAAATGAATTTATTTATGGATCCTTTGAAAGCCAATTTTCGTGTAAATCTTTTGCTAAGTTTTGTGGATGCTATTTGTGCAAGTCAGTATTGAAGGTTTTGTAATTGTGTGTGAGCATGCATTCCCGCCATCCTCTACATAGTTTCAGTTTAAAACCTAGTTGGAGATAATCGAATAGCAAAATAAATAGTATATTAAAATGATGCAATTTTTTAACATTCTTACAAAATAGATAAAATTGATTCATCGTTACATAAAAAAGAAGAAAAAATCCATATAAGAAAAGGCTTGAGTTGATATATCTAAAAAGGTATAATTAAAATGAATATACATTTTTCTATCTGCACTTTTATACGTTATATTGGTCTATTTTACCAACTATGAAATCCGCACATAGGTAAAACAACTACTATACTCCAACTTACTGCCAAACCGGGATTGATTAGGCCACCGATTTCGACGAGATCAAGCATTAGTGAGTTAAGAAGATCCATAATTTTTTGTTTCATTTGTGTAGAAATCTCCGCATTGTCATTTTGGCATTCCTTGGCTTCCAGATTCTCTTTTAGTTTATTAACTTGTTCCTGAAGATCGTCAACTTCATTGGAACGTTGTTGAAGTGCACTTGCTTTTTGGTCAAAGTTGAGGGCCAATTCCTCAAGTGCTTGCAAGACTTCCTTCACTTCCCCTTTGCCAACTTCAGCCTCTTGCTAATGTACAAAAAATAGAATTTAGTTCATTATCTAATATTAATGTGTGACACTAATCCTTATACACCTACTTAATTTGCTCAAGCTCATAATTAATTATGATAATGATATAATTGAAATAGAATGAAATATATAAGAAAAAATGGTTGATGAAAGTGGGACAAAACTGCATACAAAACTCCTCAATAGGTGAAGGGAGTGGTAAAAATGACATATTTAAAAATATTTGATCTGGTTAGGTTTTAGAAGCAAGCTTGAGGTCCAAAATTTAAACTGGAGCACAATTCTCACAAGTTTCTTCAATGAAGGCTCCAGTTTGTATGCTATACAAGTCCCATCTGTTTTATCGTATTTCTGGTACAAAATTCTTTCAAACTTCATATCAACAAGTAAATTCAATAGTACTTTACTGCACAGCTTAAACTAGTCAATATTTGACAAAGATATGGTCAATATGAGGGAAAAACTAGATCAGAGTCAAGATTTTGGCTCAATGCTCTAATAGCCTGAACAATTGAAATTGTATGTAACAAGGTAAATGCGTAATAAATCATCCAACCTTTATGAAAAATGAAAATGAATATGGTTCAGCATTATGGGGAATTTAAACTGTCTCCTACATCAGGCATTCAAGCCAATGTATAGATAATATATTTTGAGAGAAAAAGTATCTACTATGCCGGCAAACAGGTTTCTTATAGACTTACTCTATCTTATACAGATCACCAAGCCTTTATTTGATCCTATTATCGGTAACATGTGATGAATTAAAAATTTGAGACCATTAGAAATATTTAGTAAATAATTATCTCCAGAAGAATAAACTTTTGATAGTGCCATGTTTTATTAAATAATAATGTGATATTTGCAATGCAATATACAGCTCCCTACTTTTATTTTTTCCAGAAATAGTCTCTCCTTTGAACATATTTCTCTTCAACCAAACACATTTCCTTGCGATTTTTATGGGATTATACTGATTTTTTTAACTCTCCCTCGGCTGCACTTGATTTAGCTAGTTTTAAGCATTATATTAATAATTATTTTGTTTAAACAAGAGCTATATCCACCCTAGGTATAATCTGATGAAGGAATGATAGTTTATTTTCCTACAACGATATAAATATACCTCAAAATGCTATGGAATTTCACTTAGCCTTGTCTACAAAAGTATGCTATCATCCAGAGTGGACAGAAGTTTTAACATCGCCTGGGTCACATCAATATCCATAACCGAATTCG